GCTCGATGGTTCCAGACTGCAGATGGGTTCTAGGCCGGGAGGCTCTCAGAATCGACTCGAAATCATCCTCTGCCGATGTCCCCTTGCTAGTCATGTCGGTGGTGACCCTCGGAAATTCTCCGTCTTCAATCATTCTTCTTCTTCGTTGAAAACGCCTAGGCCTGGGTTTTGGCGCCTCCGCACTGAGTCTTTCAAAAACTGAAACTCTTTCGGGGACCGCCTTGATGCAGTTGCATTCAGACAATACCGCCCGAATGAGTTTGGAACAGGGGCATTGAGTTTCCTGTTCTCGGGAACTCCTCTTCCTGGTTCTATTCGTACCCCCAGCACGATAGTACAACTCGTCATTTTGACAGTCGGAGTAACCTATCGTGTGCGGGCACGACTTCTCAGGTATAACACTATCACTGTCAGATGACAATGTTTCCATCTGAGGTTGGATTGCCTTCTTTGGGCTTCCAAGAGTCACACACCTCGAAACGCGCCTTTGTGGGTGTAAATCTTCAGCGGGTTCCTGCACTTCGATGCGCAAAGTTGTGCGCTTGGGTGACCACAAATTTTCTCGCAAATAGTTGAGGGTTGTGCGGTGACGGAAGCCCAGCATGGTTGAATTGTTTAGGGACTTTTCATTGGCCCCCAACCGTCTCTTGGAACTGGAGTTTTTTGCGCCATCGTTCATGTTGGAAGTGGACCGAGCGGGGCATGCCAAAACTGGCGTTTCTCCTTCGGGATAGATTCCTGAATGATCGTAGGCCGGAAAAAGGGTATGGGCCATAGAATTAACAGGCGGACTTTGGTGTGACTCGCGCCGGAGTTTGGACTTGCTTAGAAGGCTGCGATGGTTGCCCTTTTTGGCACTGGAGTCGGCGCACTCTAGACTTCGACTTCAGCCAATGACGTATGCGGGTTGGTGGGCGACTCGCGCATTCTTCGCTCAACCCGGGCAATCCATTTTAGCAGTTCTTCTACGCGGCGTGATCGTTCAAGCCTTTGGCCTCGTACTGCGCCAGGACAATAGGCGGCGGCGCTTGCGGATACGCTCCGCTCCAACAAGTCGTACGGGTTCCGTTTGACCGGCGGGACTCACTCGATCGTTGATTAAGGCGCTTGGAGGAGTAGCGCATTCTTCACGTTGATTTGAGAGCTGAGTGTTGCCACATCGTTTGTATCTTGCAAGATCCGGCACTTGTAGAGCGGACCCCGTCCACGGACTTCATGGCCTGTGGGCGAATTGCTATCGCAGAGGTCCGTATGACGCTGGCCGTCTGGCGGAGCATCATTGGCAGAGAGTCACCACCACGCTTCCGATGGGCGGATTTGACCTGCTTAGAGGCCTGATGGGATTCACCCGACGCAGACTTGCGGCGTCGATCGGGGGTGAGGTTGTTGCGTTGGTGCTTCAATTTCGCAACCAACGGACTTTTCTCCTAGAGGAGAACTTCTGGAATTTCTTGGACTTACGGGGAGAGGTTGATCCAGACGAGGACACATACTCCTCGTACTTCTGCTGGTCGAACTCATACTCGAGCTCCTCCACGACCGGGATCGAGATCCGCGGCTGCGACGCTCCGATCTCGGCAGCGAGATCGGTGGCTCCCACTGTGGTCGCCAGATTGTTCGCGGTGAAAATCGTTGCTTTCTTTGTTATTGATTCCATTGTTATCTCGAAATAACAACTTTTTGTGTTACAAAAGATCCGGTCTTTTTTAGATCTGGTTACAATGAAAATCAAAAATAAAGAAAATTAAAAATTACAACTTTTTCTCCTTAGTCGAACAAATCGCGAGCTCCTGTTATTCGGTCACTCGCTTGCGTGGGTTGTTTGCCTGCGCCGGGATTGTTTGCCGTGGACCACCGCACGATCTAGATCCGGACCGATCTACGCAGTATAACGGGTATTATTTCACCAAGGAAATAATAGCCGGAGGGATTATTTCACCAAGGAAACAATCGCTCGAATCTCGGGATCAAAGACCAAGCTTTGATCCGGAGTGTAACAATGTAGATCTGAGATCACGATCCCCTCGAACTCCTGCCTTTTGTGATGCGGGTGCTCACCGAGAATCAGATCCGAACGTCCAAGTCTTCAAGCCTTCAAAAACTCCAAGATGAGGTCTCAATCCGGCAGAGTTTCGGCTCTCCAAAAGTTCTTCCAAAAAGTCCTCCAAAATGATGAATGACCCCGCCTATTTATAGGCAACCAGATCTGTGCACTTGGCACAGATCTGGGCGGCCACCCCAGGGTGGCTCGGCTTTGCCCGAGCCACCCCAGGGTGGCTCGACTTTGGCCGAGCCACTCCGGGCTTTGCGTCCGTCTTTCGGTTGTTTCGGTCCTTGTATCCGCTTCGTCCGTGATTCTGCTATGCGGTTGATTGATCTGAAATTGGTTCGTTGACTTGATTCCTGATTTGGCAGTCTGGATCCCGATTAGGCAGTAAATCGGCTTTGA